AGACTGGGCACAGAGTCTCTGAGATTCACGGACAGATCTTCACACTCCTGAAGCGAATCTAACCACAAAACGAATTGTTTCCTGCAAAAGCCCACTCCCCTTTCACTCCTCTTTTATTTCCTATGGGAGGAGCCAATCACCTTCCATCTGTGACTTTACTTCCAAGTCTACCCTGATTTCTGAGTTGTTCTTTTCTTCTGGCAGCTCTGCGCATGAGCACACTGGGGACAGGCTGTAGCTGTTCCTCTGCCTCACTGCTGTCTAGCTCTGTAGACACCTGATCACTGCCAGGCGGCCTCGGCTCCATCTCTGCCTCCGACACAAAGCCCTCATCAGAGTCTTCCCCAGCCTCTAGGACTGGCCCATGCTCCTCCCCAACCTTCTCAATGTCCAACTCTGCTGCCAGCTTCGATAGCCGCTGGTGGGCCACAACATGAGATTCTGGAAGGCGGAAGGGAAGCAAATCTCATAATACTCTAGTTAATGAAATTGCAAAATAGGGCTGTAGAAGATGCTACCCCTGCTGTAGATGGACCCATACAATAGTTGACCAAAAGACTACTTAAAATCTCCACTTCAGCTAGGAGGGAACTATTTAATGGAGGCCACAAGCCTGGGCCAGGTGCTGTTCAACACTTCTTGTCAGTGATTTGGTCCAAGGGGCTGGGAGGGTGATGATACAAAGCTGAGAGTAAACTGGCTAACATTGAAATGAAATAAGAATTTAAAAGATACACTGTAGATAAGTGTGGGAAGTGGGCTGAAATGAACAAGAGGGGATTTAACAAATGTAATAGTAGTCTGTGCAGGAAAAAAAAGTAAGGCATGAGTATAAAATGGAGGCGTTAAATTGCCTGCCAGGCATTAAATTTCCTTTGCCTTACAGACCTGCAAAGGTTGTAAATGTGAAGATTGCTTGCAAAGTTACATTTTCATCGCCATCATAACAGCATTAACGGTTATTGAACAAGGCAGTCACTAAAAGAGGACTATCTGCATTTCTTTTCTTTTTCAAAGTATGCCCTTTGAGGAGTCACTGTACAATGAAGTCTTTTACTGTTTAATTTTCTGCTATTGCCATCCCTGTACCAACCTTATTTGCGGGTCTCTTCTTTCCCAGTTGCATTTGAGAAGGGCGTGTTAATTGTTGCTGGCAACTGATTTCTCTCTGCCTTGGGCACGTGTGTGTTCTGCAGAATCCCTGACTTGTGATCCTTTGGGAGATTTCCGCTGTGATAATCACCGGTGTATTCCACTGCGATGGAAGTGCGATGGAAACGACGACTGTGGGGATGACTCCGATGAACAAAACTGCAGTAAGTCCCCCCCACCCTTTAACAAAAACTGCAGTGTTGTTTGCTTTGTATTAAAATACTTTTTACATTTACTTGCTGGAATTTTATCTATAAGTGGTAAGTTGATGTCTTGATTGGGGGAGGTGGGTCGGAGGGAGGAATCTGTCCCTTCCAAATGGCATAATTTCTAATATTTTTAATGAAAAATTTAGCAAGTGAGCAACGTAATGGGATAAAATGTTGAGATATTCTGCTCTGAATGAATTTGCAAAAGTTCACGCCATGTTTGAATGATTCTTATTGCAAGGTCCTCGTGAATGCACAGAAAGTGAGTTTCGGTGTGAAAACCTACGCTGCATTCCTTCCCGGTGGTTGTGTGACCATGACAATGACTGTGAAGACAACTCAGATGAAGTAGACTGTGGTGCGTATCGCACTTTGAATGTGTCCTTCCTTTGATTTCATGCAAATCTCTCTCCCTCCCTCTCTCTCTTCCTCCCTCTCTCCCTCTCTCCCTCCCTCCCACCAAACCAGCCACCTCATGGCTTTTAAAGAAAAAAAAAGATTCCAGTACTTATTTGCTCTTCTTTTCAGAACTAAGGACCTGCCACCCAGGTTTTTTCCAGTGCAACAGTGGCCACTGTATTGGAGAACGATTCCGGTGTGACGGGAGTGCGGACTGCCTGGATTTCTCTGACGAAGCTTCTTGTCGTGAGTTCTCAGATTTGTGGCAGAAACCTGATGCCCATTCCTTACAATATCATGTCTTTTTCCTTTGTGAGGCGGGGGAAATAAAGGGCTACCTTTCTTTTTCTGTGACGAGATGAATGTCAAGAAATACTGGATGCAATCAGGATGAGCAGAAATGATAAAAAGAGAATTCCAGCATCAGTCTAGGACTCTTTCTCCCCCTTGTCCTCTTCAGTATAGTCTCCCAGATCCCTAAAATCGGCTCTGTATTCCTCAACTTTAAGGTTGCTGGAAACAAGAGAAATCAGATACAGGTAGTCCTTGACTCATGACCACAGTTGATACCAGAATTTCTGTTATGAAGCAAGTTGTCAAGTGAATCACAGTCAGTTTTATGACTTTTTGTTCCATGGTTGTTAAGTAAATCACTTACAATTGCTAAGTTAATAACATGGTTGTTAAGCTACTGCAACTGTCATAAATACATGCCAACTGCTTGAACTTTGATCATGTGACCATGGCAATGCTACAACGGTTGTAAGTGTGTGTACTAGTTTTAAATCAGTTTTTCTGATGCCGTTGTAACTTTGAACGGTCACTAAACAAATGGTTGTAAGTCAAGGACTACCTGTACACACTTTATTCTGCCTGATAACTTTAAAAAAATGTTCCTGTTTCTACTCCACATTATATTTTTCTACACAATCTCTACAGCAGCGGTATACAATCTTTCTGGTTCTGCTGACTGGCAGCGGCGATGGGCAGGGAGGTGATGGTTTTGACATAAATCTTCCTATTGCTTGCACAAGTGGACCTTCGCACACTCGCCCACGGCTTCCCAACAACCTCAGATCCCAATGGGCTGTGGAATGGTATTGGCCCATGGACCAGGGTTTGGGGAACCCTACAGTACAGTATAAAGCAATGGGTTTACCCCTTATTAAAGTTATATGATGTTGCTACCATGTTTCCCCGGAAATAAGACAAGGTCTTATTTTCTTTTGACCCCCGAGTGCTTGGCCTTGTTTTTGGGGAAGTCTTATTATTTTTGAGGTGTAGGAGGCCCCTTAACCTTGGCCTGCGGTCTGCGGTTCAACTGACCAAGATAGCACTGGAAGTTCTTGCCAGCCCTAGCATAGCTGGGCCTGCTGCTCTTTTTGCGGCCGCCACTAAGAGAAGGGGTGCAGTAGCTAGGGTTTGTGGGAGCAGCCTCCGCAAGTCCATTCCGTGTGGGTGGCAGGTGCATGTGGGGCATGTTCCTGCCTCCTTCCTCCCAGGAAATGGTGGGGACTGGCTGTGCATGTATTTAAATATTTTAGAGGAGGGCTTATTTTCTGGGGAGGGCTTATTTTAACGCATGCGCTCAAAACCCCGATTGGGTTTATTGTCCAGGGAAGTCTTATTTTCAGGGAAACAGGGTATTACTAAAATCCTCTAAAAGCAGGACCTAAGGGATATCTAAGTAATGGGGAAAACATCAATTTATTAGAACATATTAAGAAATCGCTTCCATAGTATTACAAGGGCCATGATACTAAAACTGAATGTCTTTTTATCAGCCACTCGCTATCCAAATGGTTCTTACTGTCCCCCTTCAATGTTTGAGTGCAAGAACCACGTCTGTATTCAGCCCTATTGGAAATGTGATGGTGATGACGACTGTGGAGATGGGACAGACGAGGAACTTCAGTTCTGCTGTAAGCTGAAGCTTTGTTGTTGTTGTTTTTAAAGCCCACTCTTAGGTCCATCTATCTTTGGGCCATCCCTCTTTGAAATGCCAGAAAATTGGAAATGAAAAAAATGATTTTATATTTAAATGATGATTGGCAACCACATACTTGACTTCCCATATCCTAATTTCCTCTTGGATTCAAGATCAGCTTTTTCTATAACACAGAGAGGGTGCTTTTTGAGAACACTCAGGTGCTTAGATCTGGTTGATTTGGGAGGGGGGGGCATATGCATTTTTATAGATAAGGGAGCAGTGGTGGGTTTCAAAAATTGTTGGAACCTACTCTGTGGGTGTGGCCTCTTTTGTGAGAGTGGCTTGCCACCCATGTGACCTGATGGGAGTGGCTTGCCGCCCATGTGACCGGATATGAAATTATGAATTAGTACTTAGGTCGGTCCAAGTAGCTATTCAGAAATTAGTGGTTAGAAGCAATCGTAAAGCAAGATATGGAATTAAAACCAGAAATATTTTGTTGGCTATTTGAAAGGGAGTATAATATATATTTAATTTTACACATGTTAGCAGCTGCTGGAATTGTGTTTGCACAACAGTGGAAAAACAGAGATATGTATAAATAAATTGACAATTAAAATCAAGAAGGCTTTGAATACTTTTTCACATGGGATTGGTTTTAGCAATTGCCAACTAACGGAAACAGAAATTAGAAATCCAAAAGTATGAAAGAAAACACCAATTATGTAAGGAAAGGTCCCTAAAATGTATAAGGAAATATTACTAGATCATTATTAATGTGTAGATAACTGCGGGACATTACACACCCACCAGTGGTGGGTTTCAAAAATTTTTGGAACCTCTTCTGTAGGTGTGGCCTGCTTTCCGGGTCCACTGGTGGAACTTCTTCTAACTGTTTGGTAGATTTGACGAACCAGTTCTACCGAATAGGTGCGAACTGGTAGTAACCTACCTCTGTAAGGGAATTGATGTATAATGCAGCAAATGAAAAATACAGAGATTACTAAGCATATAGATATTCCTGAGCCTGAGGGGGGAGTTAGAAAATTAATCAGGGAGTTGGAAGTTTTTCATGTCAACCTGAAAAGAAACTCAAAAAGCTTCCTCAGATCTAGAAGCAGTGGGTGGAAACTAATCAAGGAGAGAAGCAACCTAGAACTAAGAGGAAATTTCCTGACAGAACAATTAATCAGTGGAACAACTTGCCTCCAGAAGCTGTAAAAAAAACCTGGAAGTTTTTAAGAAGATGTTGGATAACCATTTGTCTGAAGTGGTGTAGGGTTTCCTGCCAAAGCAGGGGGTTGAACCTCCAAGGTTCTTTCCAACTCTATTATTCTATTCTATCCTACTCATGATAAACTCAGAGATCAATGTAGGAATGATTATAAATCCAACTTTTTTCAGATAAAATAATTCTATAAATAAATAAGAAGCTATCTGACAACAGGATAGCTCTCCAAAAGCAGAACAGAGCAGAAATGAATTTGCAATGGATGAAAGCTAGTAGAAGAAAGATCGACTTCAATAGCACTAGCACTTAGACTTATATACTGCTTCACAGTGCTTTTACAGCCCCCTCTAAGCGGTTTACAGAATCAGCCTATTGCCCCCAACAATCTGGGTCCTCATTTTTACCGATCTCGGAAGGATGGAAGGCTGAGTCAATCTTGAGCCTGGTGAGATTCGAACTGCCAAATTGCAGGCAGCCAACAGAAGTAGCCTGCAGTACTGCATTCTAACCACTGCGCCATCACAGTGCAGCTTCAAACTTCCTTCCAGGATCAGAGTGGAGCTGCTGTTGTGGGATTGGGAAAGAAATTCAGAAACCAGGTTCTGCAGGCTTTTCCTACCTTTTATTAACTAGAATTAATATTGGCCATATGTTAACCGCATATAATAGGATGGCATAACTCTGGTGAGATAAGATTAGTGAATCTCTGACTGTATACTTGTTCCTGATTATGAGTAAGTTAAGCTACATGCTTTCACTAGTCCATCTCTTTAAATGTATGAATTCTGCTAGTAGTTTAGCACTACCGTCCAACGTTCAGGAAGTGTTTGAAACAATGACCCATAAACAATATTTAAAATCTCGTGATCTCTCCGATTTCAGTGGATGTTGCCTGTGAGTCCCCCTACCGCTTTCGTTGTGAGAATAATCGCTGCATCTACAGCCAGGAGTTGTGTAACCAGGAGGATGACTGCGGAGATGGAAGCGATGAGAAAGAAGAGCACTGTAGGTTTATCCATTTATCTGAACTCCAGGAATAAATAGATTAATTTGCTGTTTGTTGTCTTAGGTTTTGGGTGCTCGTACCTATGTTTGGCCTGTAACTTTGTCCGTATACTTTGCAGAATAATAATTTACCAATGTGATTGCAAAGTTATGCAAACTGTGCATGTCATTTTTTATGCAGGCAAAGAGCCTACTCCTCAGCCTTGCACTCCTGAAGAATTTAAGTGTGGTAATGGAAACTGTATCCCGCTGCATTATGTCTGTGATAATTATGATGACTGTGGAAACCATTTTGATGAGCTTGGCTGCAGTGAGTATTGTTATGGTCACATTGAAAAAAAAATTCTTGCAGGATTTCTCAGATGGGGTGAAGTGGAAACTTCATGTTTCAGGGTGATTGAAAATTGTGGGGAAATCCACTTAAGTAAAACAATCCCCGAAAGAGAAAATGCCCTTCATGTGATCTGTCACACTGAACTCTGATGTCTCACTCCCTTTCTTAACTGCCTCCATTTCATTTATTTTGGTAACACCATTCCAGCCGTTGAAACTTGAACGCAGTTTTTTTAAATCTCTGTGATACAACTTAAAGCAGCATTCAGTAACCTGATGCTCCCCAAATGTCTTAGATTTGTTGTTGCCATTGTTGTTAGTTGCAAAGTCATTTCTGACCCATTGCAACCCATTGAACAATGTTCCTCCAGGCCTTCCTGTCCTCTGCCATCCCCAGGAGTCTATTTAAGCTCACGCCTACTGCTTCAGTGACTCCATCCAGCCACCTCATTCTCTGTCGTCCCCTTTTTCTTTTGCCCTCAATCTTTCCCAGCATTAGGCTCTTCTCCAGTGAGTTCTTCTTTCTCACTAGGTAACCAAAGCATTTGAGTTTCATCTTCAGGATACAGGCTTCTAAAGAGCAGTCAGGGTTGATCTCCTCTAGGACTGACAGGTTTGATCGCCTTGCAGTCCAAGGGACTCACAGGAATCCAGCACCATAGTTCAAAGGCCTCAATTTCTTAGATTACATATCCCATAATCCTTTGGCCATGCCATTTGGGGATTTATGGATGCTGAAAACCAAAACATTGAGGCGGAACTGAGTTATGCCTCAAATTATAGTGAACTATGCTCGCTCTGCGTTAACCCTTTTATCCTTCCAGCTTATTTATTCAAAGTAAAGTAGGAAGGAAACAAATCTTTACTCTGCCAGTGATTTTAAATAAAGTGTTTCTTTTCATCAATATAACTGAGTGCAATTCATGGGGAACAGCTAAGATATAGCCACAGCTGTGTATATGTAAATTAAGAAAAAAAAGTCATCTCCCTAACAGAAACAATAAAAGAGTACTCTATATCAAAAGTTTTTCTCCCATTGACATTAATAGAGTGAACACCAAATTATTTTTTAAGAGCCTGAGGTGTTTAAGGCATAATAATAAAGCCAGGAGTTGGTCTTATATTAGTGGGATATTTGATAGCAGTTTTATGGATTTGACATCTTTGCAATCTGCTGTGAGTGTTGGAGTTGTTGGTCTTCTATAATCATGGTAAATAAAAACAGAAGAAAGAAGAAGAGGAAAAAATACATTGTTGGAAAAAAAGAGGAGCCAAAAGTGATAGGATTTTACAGTTTGCTCCTCATCAACACCAGTTAAAATGTCTCCATTAATTGTTTTGGTGATGACAATTTAACCAAAGTTCATTAAAATGCCATTTGAATCTTCCACTTCCTTTCAGCCCCATCAGTATAGAGCAGCCTGGTACTATGCATGAGTTAACTCCAAAATGGATCAGATCCTCACTGTTTGGAAAAGAACTCACTGTTAATCAATGGACGACTTCTTTGTAAAGCATAATTATGACTGGTTCTTAAAATAGCCATAATTGTTTTCTGCCCCCAAAATGCAACAATCACCCACAAAACTGTTACCTTAGTAATAATAGTATTTTCAATCAAACTTGCTTTGTGATTTTTTTAAATGTTATTTTAAAGGTTATTTTCTTTAAGAATGGAAGAGGATAAAGGGAAATTGAGTGAAAATGCTATGAATTGTAATTCCTTTATCCTTACTGATCAAAACCTATGACTATCTCTCCAACTCTTTTTCTTTAAGATCCCGGAACAGGCAGAACATGTGCTGAAAATATCTGTGAACACAATTGTACCGATCTAATTGAAGGAGGCTTTATATGTACCTGCAGGCCTGGATACCATCCCAGTGACCTGGACAGAAATACCTGTGATGGTAGTTTTCATCTATACTTTGTTTTCTACCTTGGAAATACTTAGCAACCTCAAAATTACAATATATTGTGCTTTTCCCCTCAAACTTATTTTATTCAGTTCTGTTTTTCTTTTTATACTGCCAAATCATAGAAAATTTTAGATCGCTGTTGGAAGTTGTTGCTCTATTCTTCTTCTTAAAAACACACACACAAATTGAGATGATTAATTGAAGGGCATGTGGGGGAAGAGATTCTGCTGGAAGGATGCCGTCAGTGCAAAACTAATATCATTTGTCTGGCTTAAACTTAAAATGAAATCAAAGTGAGCAAAACATCGCAACCGTCAGAGTAGAAAATAGCATCTCAACCAAGGCATTATTTTCTGTTCTAAACAAAAACGAACTCTATTTATCATTGATTTCAGATGTCAATGAATGTGAAGTCTTCGGCTCTTGTCCACAGCTTTGTAAGAATTCCAAAGGAAGTTATGAATGCTTTTGTGCTGAAGGATTTCGATCTGTTGGGGATCAACAGGGAACTCAATGTGCAGCCAACGGTAAGGCAACCAGGATTCCCCTGGATTTTTTTTTGGGGGGGGGGAGGGGGTTACAGCCAGCACATCTTACAGGAGGGATATAGATTACAGAGCTGACCAGAGAGATAAGATAACCAGAGGTGTAAATCTAATTGGCTGGAGAGACCTTCTCCAGTCCCACTCAACCCAAGGCCAGGGGTCTCCATCCAAACTGTTATTTCCATTGAGGTGCTAAAGCACAAGGTATAGTGCATTCCAGGCATTGACAACTCTGTTGCTGAAGTCGTATTTTCTGCAATCGAGTTTGAAGTGGTTTACGTTAAGTTTGTATCTATTATGAGCTTGTGTATTTTGCGGTTGAAGCTGAAGTAGACATTGACAGGTAGGACATTGTAGCAGATAATTTTGTGTACTATGCTCAGATTGGACTGAAGGCAGTGTAGTTCTAAGTTGTCTAAGCCCAAAATTTCAAGCCTGGTGGTAT